TTGGCACCATCCTCATCAGCTTCTCTCTTCCCACCAGTAGGAATTTTCTTAAAATAATTCCTCCATTAAAAAAAAAAAAAAACAAAAACAAAAGCAAAAAAAAAAAAAAAAACACAGAAAACCAAAAAACCCCACCCAGCTCAATCTAAAAAGCACAATACTAAATTTTAAATCCTAATTTTCTGGCCAATCAGGTCCCTGGTTGGCTGGAGCAAAAAACCAGTCTGTTGCACAAGATGATGAAAAGCAGCATTTTAATAACCGAGCAGCCAGGAGCTGCTGTTCTGCCCCATCGCCGCCCATCAGAGAGCGTTTGGTGGAAAAGAAATAAAGGAACCAGAGTAAGAGATTTGTCGGTGGCTCAGTCGCACTGGAAATAAATGTTGGAGCTTTGCCTGGGGATTTATGGAGACGGTTGGCCAGTGACGTGATCCGAGTTGGCTACAACAGGCAACGATACATCCTGGCAAATCTTTTGCCCTGATTCTGACTTCAGCTACTTCAGATGTCCTGCCCATCGGCCAGGTTTGATCGACCTTTGTTAGAGCAGAATTAATATCCTGTTATATTAGTGCTCAGGACGGGGTGCCTGGAGTCCAGCTTAGCTTTGCAAGGTGAGGGATCCCCCCCCCGTGCTGAAGCCGTGGAGCTCCGCAAGTCGGGGGAGCCCGGCAGCAGCAGCACACGCTGAGCATCCCCACGGGCACCCAGAGCTCCCGCCACGGGACGGGGGAAAGCTGGGGGTGGGCTGCGAGTGGCACCGAACCGTGTGGGGTTGCTGGTCAAGAAGTTGCATCATCGCTCGTGTTTTAACTCTGTTTAATTTGACACCGATCCAAAGAAACTAAATTGCCACGCTAATATATTTCAATTATTCCGTTAGCGCTGCTGAATAAAATAAATTTTGCAGGCAGACTTGCTTGCTGAAGCGTGAACTTCCGTTTCTCGTTCTTGGCTGGGGCTGTGCCAAATTACTTCTTCTGCCCTCCGAGGAAATTTGAAGCTGTTTCTCGTTGTCCAACCCCGGCTCCTTCTGCAGGACCCGCTCCCTGCGCCGCGAGGGTCCCGGGGGGCTGCGCCCAGGCTGGGGGTGCAGCACGGAGCGAGGGCGAAGGGGCGGGAAGAGGCTCTGCAGGGACCAGGTGAGGGGAACCCGGGAGGTAATTGAGTGGGGTGACTGGTAGGAAAAGGGTATTTGGACTTTGAAGGGGATGAGATGGTTTGAAAGAAAGCCTTGTCTCTCTCTCCAGGTGGATTTAAATTAAAGGGAATGGCATGAGGAGCTGGAATCCCATACCCAAGGCAGCCAAATCTGGGCAGACCTGTAAGTCTGATCCCAGCCCTTCGCTGCGGCTGAGCCTCCGGGGTGCAGCCGGGGAGGAGGCAAAGGAGCAGCGGCCTCATCCCAAGGCTGCGGAAACACAAAAAATCGCAGATCTGTCCCGCCTGGGGCTGCGCCGGGCACCCGTCCTGGCGCTGGGCTCCACCGCGGGATGCTCCAGCCATCCCCTCGCTGCCTCCCCGGCGGTCCTGCTGCAGCTGTTGCGCTGCAATTTTAATGCTTTCGTGTTTCAAAGCACAAATAAGCTCCCTGGCACCATTCCTACCCCCTCCCCGAGGGCAGCTGGTGTGAAGGGCCAAAAAACCCCCCCTGATTTCCCAAGCCCTTGCCACCTTGGCTGTCACCTGCCGTGCCATCCCCAGGGACTTGGGTGCTTCCTCCTGTTGCTGCAAACCCTCCTTGACACTCCGCTGTATAATGCCTCGTGCTGTAATTTTGTGGGTTATTTTGGGGACTGGGGGGAAAAAAAAAAAAAAAAAAAAGAAAGAAAAAAAAGAGAAGGGTAAATCTCATTGACAGTATTTCAAGCCTTTATATTTTGATTTGGATTCCTATAACCAGGAAGGTTTTATGGTGTGCAGTGTTCCCTGGCTCAGGGAGAGCTGCAGATGTAGGTGAAGGTGTTAAACAGGGTGGTTTTCACTTTTTTTTGTTTTTTTTTCCCCTATGGTTGCCACCTGTTGCAAGAAATGGGGGAGAAGGAGGATTTAGCAACAAGAGGGATGTTCGGAAGCTGCTTCTCCAAAGGAAAACACCGAAACCCAGCAGCCGTGGCCCTACCTGCCTATAAACTCCCCAGCTGCCGTTTTGGGATGAGATTATTACATATTAATAAAATAACTTCCCCCTCCCGCCCTGTCTTTTCCTCTTTTAACAAACGAAATGACTGAATTACTCTGCGGCTAAAAGGTTTCCATGACAATGGCATCTTCCAGGCGCACCAGCCGCATCGCGGTGCCCGGCCCGGCCCTGGCGCTTGCCCCCCGGCTTCATCCCCCCCCCTCCGGCTTCATCCCCCCCCCCGGCTTCACCCCCCCCCCTCCGGCTTCATCCCGCCCCCCCCCGGCTTCATCCACCACCACACACACCCCCCCGACCCGAAATGGGGGAGATGAGCCGGTGCCCGGAGTCCTGCCAAGAAATTCAACCCCCGGGGGGGAGCAGAGAGGAGGCCTGGGTGATGGGGGGGGGGGTTGTGTCTCAGCACGGGTTTTAGGGTGGTGTGTCTGTGATTGGGGGGGGGGCATCTGAGTGGCACCAGGTCCTGACAATCCCATTGAGGTAATTAAGCCAAGCCACAAATTAGTTGCTTGGAGACTAATTGCAAGCGGATGCGGCAGCGATTTGGGGGCTCGAGGCTGCCCCAGCTCCCCAGGCCCTTTTTGAAGCTCTTGGGGGGGGGGGGGGGAGCAATTTCCGCGCAGCCCCCCGCTGACAAACCAGCACTTTCGCTTTTCACAGCTCTGTAATAAATCTGACTTTTAGTTCCTCAACCCACCGGCACCTCGAGGCTTTGCCTCTCCTCCTCTTGCTGAGGGCACCCAGCCGGGGCCCGGGGGGGGGGGGGGGCGAGACACCCTGCAAAGCCTTGCAACCCCCCCCATCCCACAGCAGGGATGTCGTGTGTGTCGTCCCCCCCCCCCCCCCCCCCCCCCCCCGCTGCTTCTGGGACCCCCACCCAGCACCTGCAACCCTCCCGCCCCCCCGACAAGCGGCCAAATTCACATCAGGCTCAACTGCAAAATTCAGGCTCTGCAGATGGGGGGGGGTGTCAGAGCTGGAAACTGGGACCCCAGTGGCTTCTTCCCCCTCCTCCTCCTCCTCCTCAGCATGGTGGCCCTGGGGGGGCGGGGGGGACACCCTCCACAGGCAAAGGGATCCCTTGGGGTGACCAGGACCCCGGTGACCCTTCCAGCCACCCTCCCCGCATTGCAGCTCCCCTGCAAGCCCCCAGCGCCCGGCACTCGCCCCGTTCCTGGCCCCGAGGCCGCCGGTTCCCTCGGTCAGCCCAGAGCCCCCCAGGGTGGGGGGGTCCCGGCCATCGCACGGTGACACCGAGCGAACCCCGCGCCCTTCCCGGGGCTCGTCCCGCCGGCTCCGGAGCGAGTCCCCTCGCCCTCAAGCGCCGGCCACTCGCGGGACATCCGTGGGAAAAAAATTGGGAGAAGATTTTGTGGGTGCAGAGTGGTGCTGCGGGCTTGGGGGGGGGGGCAACACACACAGCTGGGGGGTGAGTGGGGGGGCACGGGACCCTCTCCCCCACCCCATCAGCCCCTCCCTGCCGCTAATAAGTGTTTTCCCTATGTATCCCCCCCTTACTAAGGCTCCCCGCTTGGGGCTCCAGCATCCTGACCCCCTCCCCACTCCCCCCAACCTTGCACCCAGCCCTGCCTCAGTTTCCCCCCCCCCCCCCCCAAAGGGATGGGAGCGGGGGACAAGGAGGGGACTTACTGTGAGAGTTTTTATTCATCCCAGTCATCTCGCCCAGCTCCAGCCTGAGCGGTTTCGGAGCAGAGCGCGCTGCTCCCCCTCCTCACGGGGCTCCGTCCCGCACCACGGCCGGCTGGCGATGAGCTGGGGTGCCGGGGATGGGGGGGGGATATTTGGGAGGGTGGACGTGGGGATGGAAGGAGAAATGGAGGGAGGGATGAGTGAGTGGAGGGAGGGATGGAGGGGATGGATGGAGGGACAGAGGGGTGGAGGAAGGAATGGACGTGTAGGTGAGCAGAGGGACACGCGTGTGGCTGGAGGGGGAACGGGTGGAAGGACACAGAGGGGACCGGCCGGGTGATGGGACGGGCAGAGGGATGGATGAAGAGATGGAGGGAAGAAGCACACGAGCTCAGCCAGCACAAGGAAAATTTGGGGACCACAAAAAAAAAAAAAAAAAAAAAAAAAAAACGTGCACAAGGGGACCATGGTCAAATTATGGAGAGAAAATGGGAGAAGCAGATGTAGAGGATGGGGAGGGGGGAGAGGGGCCGGACAAGGGGCTGTCAGGGACAGCCAGGCACCAACTCCCGGCCAGAGCAGCCACCAGCCCCACGGTGCCAGCCAGGACCCACATCTCCAGCACCCTCACAGCCATGTGGGAATGGATTTAAACCAATTTTCTCCGTTTCCAGGTCCTGCTGGGACACTGGGGACCGCAGTCACACGTGGGATGGTTCGAAGGCGGCGAAGTTCAGCCCGGACGGTGGGAAGGGCGGCATTTTCTGGGGTTTGGGATGGATTGGATGGATTTCTTGTTTTTTTTTTCTTTATTTTTTTTTTTTTCTCTGTCTGGGCTGTGGGGCCAGCACCCAGCTCTGGGCCTGGGGGGATCCCACAGTCCCCCAGCAAGATACAAAGAGGAGAATCTTCCCATTATACAGGTGGGAAAACTGAGGCACAAAGGTATGGGGGGGTAGGTGACATGCCTAAAGCCCCTCATGAGGCCAAACAAGGACTCACCTCCCCCCCCTCCCCATCCCCACTGCAAACACTTGCCAGACCACACAGCTCCGTTGTTGGTTTTGGGTTTTGTTACTTCTTTTTTTTTTTTAATCCATGTTAAACTAAGGACCGCCACGTATGTGTGTCAGAGAAAACAACAAAAGGCACACACAGAAATAAAGTCCAAATGCCTGAGAAAAACAACTCCAGGTCAGGAAAGCGGTTTCTTGAGACACTGTTTGGAGTTTTATTGGCAACAAGGCTCTGCCTTTCACATGCTTGGCCCCGGCCTCGCAGCTCGCTGCTGCCTTTTCCCCCCGGGAACAGCAAGGGCAAGCGGAGCGATAAGGAACCCCCGCGCCCCGCCGGGGCAGCCCCCGTCGCCCCGCGGGAGGGACCGGGGGGGCCCCTCGCCCTCCCGCATCCAGCCCTTGGCACCACGCGGATGGCGCCTGCCCGCGGGAAGAAAACAGCCCCTTAAAACATCCACAATCGGTTTGATTTAAAAGCAGAGGGCGGCGAGGCCAGCCCGGCCCGGGGAGGATGGCCCCAGATCCAGGATCCTTCCTCCCCGGAGAGTCCTGCAGCACTCGGATACCCTGTTTCCTCGACACAGCTCTCCCCCGCTTCCCGCCGGGAGCTCCCATCTCCTTTAAACGCCCAAATCCTCTTTGCAGGAGAAGCCTTGAGATCCGTGTTTCTGTCGCACCTCTTCCCGGCAGATCCAACACTGCAAAAACACGTTGGGGCAGAAATACCCGTGGCTCTGAAAGGTCCCCCACCTCCGGAGGGGTCCAAAGCCCTACGACGCCGTACCCGGGCGTCCTTCCCAGGCGTGGAGAGGGTGGGGAAGAACAAGGGGTGCACGTTATAAATATAAAATCATTATCTGCTACAAACAGAAGACTTATATAGTACATCTTTGACCCATATACACAAGAACACAATATACACAGAACGCCTCGGAGGAGCGGGGGCTTTGCAAGGGGGGGTTTGGGAGATGCTGCTCCCCTACCAGCCCCCCCTCCCCAGGCCTCCCCCTCGGGCCGGGGTGGGGGTGGGGGGGCTGTACCGACAGCACATCAGTCCCCAAAAGTCCCGTCAAGCTGACGCGCATCGTTCAAACCGCGCGTGGGTGGAGTGGTCGTGTGTGTGTGTGTGTGTGTGTGTGTGTGTGTGTGTGTGTGCCCACCCCGCTGCCCTGGGGGAGAGGGAGGCGCAGAGGATGGAGAGAAGGAGAGAGGGCAGGCGCGAGGGGCTCTCTCGCGAACCCGCAAAGTGCTTGGGGGTCTCCGGACCCTCGGAGCGAAGCTCGGCCCTGAGAGAAACTTCTTGCCCTGCCGCCCTGGGAGCGGGGAAGGATTTTCCAGCCAGGCGGGTCTCTGATAAGGCATTTTCATCTGGGAGTTGGAGCGAACGGTGTCAGAGAGAGAAGGGAGCAGATGGTGGCAGGTTAACACGAGGCAGCGAAGCCGAGGTGGTCCCAGCCGGACAAGCCCAGGGCAGAGGGAGGAGAGGACAGGAGGGCTTCGTCCTCGGCTCAGTTTATCTGTCGAACTGTCCCCCCGTATCCCACCCCCCCACCTCGAGTCCCTTCAAGCCTCTCTCCCTGGCTCGAGCCACCAGCACGGCGTGAAATACTGACGGTCGTTGGAGTGGCACATCCAGGCGCGCGGAGTGGCAGACAGGCACACGTTAAGAGGAGTTAAGACAAGAGTTGCTGTGAGCTTTGTACAGCGAGGAGCAGCTCCCGGCTGGAGTGTCCGAGGACTTGGGACGACAAAAATGCCACAGTGATCGGATCGGGCCAGGACGAGGGGGTGGGCAGGGGGGAGAGGGGAGGAGGGAGTCGCGTCCTGGCACCTATCGGCGGTAATGGTTGGGGGCATCTGCAAACATGTACTTGAGTCTGTAGGCTTCTGCGAGCAGGAGTCCAATTTCTTCGTTACCCCAGTGTATCGTGGGCAGGTTTTGTAACAACATCAGAAGGCCCTGAAAGAGGGGGGAGGTGCTTAGTTTGGGGTGGCTGGAGGCAGGGCAAAGATCCAGAGCAGGCTCGGGGCCGGCACAACCAGCGGCAGCAGCACTCAGGAACTTTCGTTCACCTCACTCGCAGGTCCCAAGGGCTCAGAGGCAGCACTGAGATGTGCTCGTGCATCTGGATCCGAATCAGTGAAGCACCTCAGGCGCCCCCGAACCTCTTGAGATGCTCCCACAGCGTTACAGCTGGACACCAGAAGGCAAACACAAAGGGACTTACCATGATCAAAGCTCGAGCCCAGGGAAGAGCTGCCCAACAGCTCGGTTCTGCCCTGAGCCCTGAGGCTCAGAAGGTACTTTTAGGCAAAGATCCTGAGACTGGATGATCTCAGAGCTAGCTTTGAGATGATGGTTGACCGTGTCCATGGTGGGCTCCCAACCAAAGCCATTCCCTCCCCTCTCCCCCCAGGGAATTACCCCCAGCCCCAAAGACTTACTTGGAAGTCTTCCTCGTCTAGGATCTCCTTCCGCCACTTGATCAAGAAGGCAGCGCAGACGTACAGGTGGAAATGTGAGAATCCTTCTGGCTCCGACTGCGGGCAGCAAATCTCTGCGTCAGCTCCTGCAGCTCAGCTGGGTCACGGCTTCCCCGGGCACAGACGTCTGGCTGGGCCACCCACCACCCAACTGCCTACAAATGTCCCAGGGCCACAGTGCTTTCCTTCCCTCACCTCCCCAGCTGCACGGTGCCGCCAGATCTCCATCCCGCCGCGCACAGGGAACTGGTCCCACAGTGACCAGCCAAGCAGGGAAGGCAGCGGGAGCCTGCGTACCTGGTAGGTGTCCCAGAGGCGGATGGTGCAGCGAAGAGGCAGCTCCCTCATAAGCAGATTGTTCATCCAGCGAAAGGCAAACTGCAGGTATTCGACCTCGTACTTCCTAAAGTGATTATGTACCTGCTCTGAAACAGCACATTTCACTTACACACCTGGCGACCAGGGTGCCCCAGCTCCCGCACACGGCGCTGCCCCCCAACGCGCCGGCTTTCACGCGCTTTCAGGCTGAGTCCTTGTTCTCCCAAACGCCTCCAACTCCTCACCCTGTGCTACCTGGACAGAAAAACCCTGTCCCCAGGGAGTTTGTGGCTGATATTACCCTGCCCTGCTTCCATATATGTTATATGCAAGTTGTCCACCTCCTACCCTTGCAGAGGCCTCCTGATGTTGTGACAAAAGAGCCTCCAACCTGCTCAGATCCCTCTGTCACCTACCATCGATCCGGCTGACGAGCTCCTCAAGGGCTTTGACTTTCTTCTGGATCCCTGGCTGTGCAAAAGTGTAGTTATCCTGTGGGGAGAGGCCACGAGTCAGAAGCAGCAGCTCTAACGACAGCTAGGAATGAGCAAAACCAGATCCCCAGGGAGCCGAGATCACCACGAGCACCATCATCTGCCTGCTGTGAAGTCCCTAGTCAGGACAGCGCCGGTTGGACAGCCACAGCGTCTTATTTCCCCAGGATTTTACCCACAGATTTAGCTCAGAGAAGTAGGAAAATCCCCCTAATGCTAGGACGTGCAGAGCGCTTGCCCAGACACAGAGAGGAGGTGACTGCACTGCTACCCCAGCAAGGGGAGAGAAACCTCGTGGCCCCAGAGGCTCACCTGTATCCCGTCCAGCAGCTTGCTCATGCACCAGAAGCTATCGGCTTCGATGCTCCGTAAAACATCCTGCGACAGGTTCGTCACATCAAAGTTCTCCACGTCCTCCTCTGCAAAACAGGGAGGGAAGAGCATCAGGAGGCTCACGGGACACACCGAGGGGCTTTATCAAGCCAAGGCAGGGCAAGAGGCACTACAAGGCTCCCTGCGTGATGCGAGTGGCCTGCCTGGCGCAGAGCACAGCACCCATGTGCTGACCTACTTCTCCAAGCCAGGCAAAAGGCAGAAGGACCCCAAAAGACTCAGCAGCCACGATCCAAACCCAGCCCAGCCACTCAGGGGACCGTGGGAGGGCTCCCACAGGGCTGCTGCTGCTGTCGTCCCTCTGGGGCGAGGGCTGTGCATGGACAAAGCTCCCGGCATACGGGGCTCCTCTTGCTGGAGCGCATCCCGCCCTGGGTGACAGCAAGTCGCTGGCAGCACCACAGGGAGAACTGGGAATCCCTCACTGCAGCCAGAAACCAGGGAAGGAAACGCTGCCCTTGGCCTGGGGCAGCACAAGGGAGCTCAGTTCCCACTCCCAGCCGCATTCATCAGCACCATCCCAGGGCTGCAACACAACAGAGGCACCCAAAAAGTGGCTGCTGACTCTGAGGACCCCCGAGGAAGAACTGCCAAAGCCTCAGAAACCACTGCGGGAGAGCAGGACTCTCGGGCACAGCTGCAAGGACCCAAGAGCGCACAAACATCTTCCTAGAGAGCAAAAAGGCCGAGTTATATCCAGCACAGAGCCTGGCAGCGTGGCCACACGACAGAGACACCGCTCAGCTTCACAGAGCTTTTCCTCCTCCTCAAGTCCGGCTGACAGGAGAGCTCCAGCAAACAGAAGCAGCCCCATGCACGGAAGAGCCTTGCTGCAGGGGAAGCAGAGATTTGTGCAAGCTTGTTTTTCAAATCCAGTGGACTAGGGGGTCTGAGAGCACAAAGGTTAGTGGCAGCTCTGTCCCCAGAGGGTACTCAGAGTACAAAAGGCTGCCCTTGCTTTTAAATGGGCTTACGGACCCCCAGGAAGGTCACGGGAGAGATCAGATGCCCAGAAGGTGGGAGAGTGGTGATGCTGGCTGAGTTTGGAGCAGAGATCGCCTGCTGCAGGCCAGGCCCACCTTAACCTGGAGGCTGTAGAAGGCAACAGGCACGGGAAGGGAGTGGAAGCTAGGGAATGGACAGTCAGGAGACACAGGGCTGGCCCTCCTGGCTTGGCTGACCCAGCGGCTTTTCTCCTCAGGAGGAGAGTGCCTGTCACGCCGCTAAATCAGATCAACAGATCCCAGAGCTAAACTGACCCATTTCCAAACCCAGAGGCTCAGAAACCCTAACAAGCATCTTTGATCTTGCTTGGAAAAGAGCAAGAGAGGGACAGGAGGGGGCTCGGGGCTGGAGCCGGGCCACCCTCTTGGCTCAGGTACGCCGCAGGGCAGCTGTCACAGGCTGCCAGTGCTCTGAAAACCGACGCTCGCAGACCCTGCCCACGGGAGGATGAGAAGTGCAGAGCCAGCAACTCCAACGCTGCTCCCACCTCTGGGGCAGGAGCTCAGCTCCGGAGCAAACTGCCACCGGGAGCTTTAGGGACAAGCATGGGCTTAACCCTGCATTAATGTGGCAACCTTGTGCTGCAGAAAGAGCAGCAAAGCTGCTTTCCAGCTGCAGGTCATCAGCCAAAACTGCCGGTTTCAGGCAATGAGAAATGCAGGCAAAATCTGATTAATACCCATCTCCTTCCCTAGACAACTGAGTAAGGAGGATGGGCACGCAAAAGAGTAGGACAGGGCCACACGTGTATGGCCAGGACTGGTGGGAGAGGCATGCTCAGCCATGCAGGGTTGAGCCTCATGCAGATCTCCCCGTGCAGCCCCAGGCATGAGGCCCGAGAGGGAGATGGGGATGTGGTGACCTGCCCGGGTGATGGGGAACACCCTGCTGCTCACACTGGTATAGGGACAAGAGGAGCAACCCTGCCAGCACCCCAGTGTCAAAGCAATACAGTAGCAGGAGATCCCCAGCACGAGCCAACACACATTGCAAGAAGCTTTGAAAAAAAAAAAAAAAAAAAATCCCAGGTCTCTGGAGTGTGTGGCACAGCACAAACATCTGCTCAGTGGCATCATTAGAGACACCGTGTGAAAAGGAGGGAGATACTCAACATATGGCTCTGACAGGGACTGAAAAGGAGCCAGCAGCGTGGTGACAGTCACCTGCAGCTGAGCTAGAGGCAGCCAGGACACTGCCAGCAGCGTCACAAGGTGCCCAGGGGCAGCTGGGGAAAGCAAAGTTCCTGTGAGTGACATTTTTGACAGAGCTCAGGGCAGACACAGGAGAAGGGACATCACAGTCCCACCTGAACCCCTGCCTCAAATGCCAGGCAGGACATAGCTTGGAGCAGATCAGAGGAGCCAGGGCTCCAGCCCCCCACATCCCTGCTTTCCATAGGGCAGCTTTAATGACTCCCCATATTCTGGCAGCTGGGGCTCAGTGCAGGACTAGATGCCTGGAGAGCAGCTAAACCCAGCCTCAGCTCACAGCTCTGCACAGTAACGGGCAAGTCTGCACGGCGTGCAGCCAGCACCAGGTCCAGGGCAAAGGCAGAGTTCAGGGCAAGCTGGGTCAGGCAGTGTGACTAGTAACACCCAGGCACAAGGCTCTCCTCCCCTTCATCCGAGCTCCACTTCTGCTCCTGCTTACAGGGAAACAGAGTCTTAATTTAGCCATGATTAGGTTTTAGTAACAAAGCCAGTTAGGAGCGAGCAAGACCAATACTTTCCATGGCACCGCTCCCCCTCTGCACACTTGGTGAAACGCCAAACGGGTCCCAAACCCAGGACAACCCCTTATGCAAGGCCTTGAATGAGGGATGAAAGCAGTGTCAGACGCCGAGATGGGCAGAGAGCACTGGGAGAGGGTGCAGGGGCCAGCACTGTCACTACCTGGGGACGCTGAGCTCATGTCCAAGCTCTGTCACTGCCATTTTAAATGAAAACACAAGCCAGGAGAGCTGGGAGTGACTCGAGAGGGGCTGCAGGCCCTGAGCTGGGAGGCAGTTTTAGCAGGACTGGCAGCTCAGCAGCCCTGTGCTTGCTGGGCCCTCTCTGGTCACCCAGAAAAAGGGGCACGCCGTTTCTTCTGGCAGGTGCCCCGATTCCTCGGACGCCAGACTGCCTCTCTCTACCCTCACCGCTCAGCTCTGCCTCCCCAGCGGCGCTGGCAGCCTGCGTCCATCCCAGCTGGAGCAGCAACAGCAGGCTCAGCTGCTCCTGCAGCCTCGACACCTCCCTCGAGCTCTTCCTGACAGCGGCACCGGCTGAAAACAAGCAGTGCTCAGCAGTCTGCGGCAGAAGCCATCGGCCAGCTGGGAGGAGGAACAGCTCCAGCTATGGAGCTGGCAGTGGCAGGGGCCCAAAGTGCCCGTGCTTGCTGCCAAATAGCCAAGGCAGCCCTGTTCATGCAGCAGGCAAGTAAAGCATCACAGGGGAAGGTGCTTGCCACGCTGAGGGAAAGGGGAAGCCACAGCAGTTAAATCTATTCCGTCAGCCAAGGGCTCACGGCAGCCTGCCCACCACCTGGAAGGAGGAGGAGTTTTGCATCCAGACTGGGTGCAAAGTAGAGGAAAAGCAACTGGTCCCAGCTGGCACTGGAGAATGGGGCAGAGGAGTTCAGACACGGGGACTGGAAGCCCTGGGGAAGAGCTGCTCCTCCCTGCTTCAGCCTAGGTGGTATTTTTTGGAGCCAAAGGGGCACACACACTGGATTCAAGGCATTTCTCGGAAAGAAGGGGGAAGCCTTTCAGTCAGGCTAGGGAAATGCGGGTTAATAATGGGGCTGTCCAGTTCCCAAAGCATCCCAGGGCAGTTAGAAGAAATAGCTTCCTGTGAATGTGTTTCACTCACTGGTCCTTCAGGACCCATAGAAGCATACACCCTTCCCTCCCCACACCTCTAGAGCCAGGATGGAAAGGCATCAAGTCAAAGACGCGGCAGTACGGCCAAACTGCTCTAACTACTACCTTGAGCAAGCTGTGCTTAACCCCTCTGCACACAAGGGTCTGGGAGTTTGCTGGGTTACTGCTGACTGACAGTTCATTGCTCACATCAACTTCAATGAAAGGAAGCTGTCAAATTGTTCCCTGAATGTGCTTGATAAGCTACAGACCATCCCCTATCCAAACCACCCACCTTTTCCCCGTGGACACATTCTAGCCCTTGGTGGGAAGCCAGACAAGCCCTGAGGGATGTTTTAGGCCTTGATCTAGTAACTGATATATAATGGAGAATGGAGACACTATCAACCAGACACATTAATCAGCTGATGAGCACCAAGGAGGGATTTTTAATTGATCTGTAGAAAAGTTGATTTGTTGTCTGCAAATGCAACGCCTGCCCAAAGCAGGGGATGATGGGTTAGAAGTCTACAATGAACGTAGAGACGGCAACCAGCCCATTATTGGAGGTGAAACTGCTTTATGAGAAGCCACTAGATTGAACAGAAGAAGACCAGGGTGTCAGCCTGACCTTGTGCTGCACAGCTAATCAAAGTCAACAGCTTGTGAACTCCCACCTCTGCCTGTCAGCTCTGAATCACACCCCCACCCTCCCCACACACACACCCCCACGGTCCCTGGAGAGCTGCAACGGTCCTGCTGAGACAAGCCCTTCAAAAGCTCTGACACAAACATCCCGGGGAAGACGGTGGGCAGCTGAGCCGAGGAGCCAGCTGGCAGCACAGTGGGTCCCTTCTAACATCTTGCAGTCAACAAAACACCCGCTCCGAAAGGAGAGCAGGGGCAGCAAACCCAAGAGGTTTCAGGATGGAGCCAGTGCTGGTGCCAATTTCCCAGAGCCAGCTTTCAAGGAAAGGCGAGGGAAACTTTTCCAGGCCAGTCATGCACACACCTTTGAATGTGGAAGCACCCTCAGGTGACCCTCAGGTGTACGAGCCCTTGGTGACTCTGTGGGCAAGGGCTGCCTGAGCCACACAGATTGTCTCCTGTTCCAAGGGGGATAGAGATTGAAGAATACAAGTAGAATTTCCTTTGACCAAGAGATTCCCCACAGAAAGGCGAGTTGTCCCTTGGCACATACTGCACAAAGATTATCAAACTGTGCAAGGCCTCTTTTGATTCTCCTGCTGCAAGGACTCGGGTGCAGTGTAGACTTGGTTGATCTCGGGATCCTGAGAATTAGTGATCCAACTGAGAGAGCCTTCAGACCTGCCCTGCACCAGCTCTTCAGGGGCCTGCCAGCAAAGGCAGCTGTAGGAAAGAGCCAATGCTCCAAACCAGAGACTGAAATCCTGTTGCAGAAGGGGCTACATGGCACTGAGCACTGCCAGTTCTTTCCCACTTACATTCAAGGAAATTACTGATCTTGTCCTTAAACTCTGACTGCTACACAGCCAGACCAGGGAGCAGGTAGCCATCGAGACAGCTTGTGACCTAAAGGCTGGCTTTGAATCCCAGGGTCTGGGGACAGAAGAGGGTGCATGGTATTGCTTGGCCAAATTCAACTCAACAGGTCTCACACGGAGGGCTTTTTCCTCCGACACAAGTTTCAGAGATAGCTGGAAACAGGAAAGTCACATTCAGAGTGCAGTCAGGGGTGAAAACAGCCCTGGAAGATGGTGAGAAGCATGACCCCAGCAAGAGGTGGACAAGTCTAACGCAGCATGAACTCCGCAGCCACATGCAGAGAGACTTGAGCCCCGACACCCAACATGGTAGAGGACTGCAAGAAGCCACACCAGGTACCCACGGGCAGCTCTTGATGCTTCAGACCAGCTCCCTTCTTGCACAGATCTTGCACTGTGCACAGCTCTGCTTCTAACCCAATAAACTGATCCTGAGCAATCAGCCTCTGCCAAGACTAAGCGCCATCAGTGCCGCTAAAGCAATAAGGCACAGGAGAAGCCGCTCAAAGGGAACCGGCTCAGATCTGACCCAAGAGGCTCTTGACCTCCCAGGAAAGGGAATTCCCTCCAGCTGGTAGCAGAGCCACATTTTATGCCTTCTCCTTCAGGCCACGAGGAGCAACAGCACTTCCTAGGGATCAATCCTGACCACACCGGCTACCACAGTGGAAACTGAGGTGGCTTACCTCTTCACAACACCCTCAGAAGCAGCAGATCACTACCAGCTTCCAAAGCCTCAGCTAGATAGTGGAAGGCTTCCACAGACTTCACCAAACTTTTGATCAGACCTTAAAAATATTTGTTCAACAGGATTTCCCTATTACTAACAGTTTTATAAATTCTTTTTTTTCTTCTACTTAGAGTGAAAACTAAGAGCCTTTAGGCATAGGGATTACTACATCCCAGCATTAACGTCAACCCCAAAACGCAGCTAGAGCTGGAGAAATAATAAAAATGCTATGGGTGGAAATGCCTTGATCTCCGTCTAAAAGCAACTGTCTAACAAAAAAGCCAAAAGCAGCAGGGAGATGTCAGCTTGCTTGCTAAAACTCTCAGCTTGAGAAACACACCTGTATCAGCAGCACGGGACAGGAATCTTTATTTAAATAGTTTATTTTACATTCTCAGCAGGGTCTCTTTATACTTCACTCAATCCTCCTAGAGTAAGAACTAGCTGCAAGCTCAAGCTTTGAGAGCAAGACCTTCCCCTCCCCCAACTCTGTATATCAAGGCTTTGCCTAAACTCCCTCAGCACCTAAAAGACCCCATTCTCCTCTAAGCTGTAAGGTTGTTAAGTACATTCAAATGCAAATCCAGCCTTAGCACTTCAACTTCCGTGGAGCTCAGCACGGTTATGAAACTGAAGTAAATTCAACCAGGCAGCACAGATACAGTAAGAGGTCAAGATGCATCTCCAGCCCGGTGCTGAAGGAAGAACACATCATCCCCTCCAGAAAGGCAAGCTTTTCTGATGCCAGCGCTTCACACTATTTCAAACACTGCGGTCCAGAGCCAGCACCATGCTTCAAACAGCAAAAGTCACTTACCAACATACTCAGAGAGGAACACAACAAAGAACGGAGTGACCAGGTCATTGATTCCCTGCACATAGCCGCTGGCTGGGTGTCGAATGGCCCAGATAAACAGGATTCTTTCAAAGATCTAGGGAAGAATGAGGGAAAGCAGGTACCTGCATTAGCCGTGCACAAAGGAGAGGCAGAAAAGCGTAACAGCTAAGCTGAGGGAGCGGAGATCATGCGCTAACAGGCTTTTCTGCAGCAATACGGGTAAGATAAGAAGCGTGCAAGTCCTAGGAGAGACTCCTGCATGATACAGAACCCCCACACAGGTCAGCCCACACTTCAGAGAACAAGGCAGCCCAGGCTCCTCCTCAAAGCCTCCATTTGAAGAAGTGCAGACCCAACTTTTCAAGATCCAGGTGGCCTAAGACCCTTCCACCCCTAGGACAGTGCTACTTATTAGCAGAGCAGCACGCCTTGCTGAGCATCATGTGGAAAGCTAAGGCTGTTATCAGCAGCGTGCTCCCAGCAAAACATCACAGGTCGGGATAGTTCCCAGCAACCAGTGTGTTATTTCCAGACTGCCCCAGCCCTGGGACACGATGCTCTGACACAGCACACACACACACCCCAAGGTTGTTTCTGAAGAGGACAGATGCTCACACCTCCTGGCCACCTCTCAAACCCATCCCTGCCAAGGTTTCTCACACACTGCTTCACACAAAAGAGGTTTCATAGCAAAACACAATTGATCTCCTGTTCTGGTTCACATTCCTTAAATTGGTCTCAGAACTAAAGCTTCAGGTCTCTTACCAACTCTTAGCTACATCTGGCCACAAACGAGCTGATCTCATAACCCCTGAGCTCCAAGTCCGATGTCTTTCAGAAAGACAGGACAAGACTGAACAGTTTCAGCAGGTATTTTCATCAGGAGCTGTCAGCCAGGGAAGTTTCCTTGCAAAGCTAACTCACTAGTGGCAGTAGCTGGTCTAACTCCACACACACCCCCCATGGAAAATGTGGGGCAGGAGCTTCTCTCCTCCTTACCTCCTGGACGAGCGGCTGCTGGAAGAGGGGGATGAGTGGGTTGGTCCTTGGAATGTCGATGTGGATCTGGAAGATACGAGTGGGTTACACACACCAGCTGCGCTTTCCAGGGGCACAGTAACACATCAACAGGCTAACAGAGGGGAATCCACCCCTCAGTGTCCCCCCAGGGGAGAGCTGCACTTGCTGGCAAGCACAAGGAGGGCTACAGATGATGGCTGCACCAAGAAAAATCATCCACAGTTTTATCTCCAGTCTTCTCTACTCAAGTGTGGGTAAGTGCCCAGAGCTGGGGTCTGAAATCTAGTTATTAGATCAATTTAGGGAAGGCTTAAACTAATACCTATAAGAAAACAGACAGAAACATGGTGCCCTGCCCCAAGCAGAAGACTCCTGATAGCTACAGCTAGAAGAAGTCCTAGCATGACCTCAATCACATGGACAAGCAGCAGCAAGAGGGAGGAAAGGGATATAACCAAGGCAGAAAGTCAGGCAACAGGCAGAGGGCTCGTACCTGTCGGTAGGTGTCTTGATGGTGTTCTTCATTCCGGGAATCATAATACTGCTGGATGAAGCCGAAGTACTCCTCCCGCTTGCGCTGCAAAGTCAGCTTTCTCCTCTCCATGTTTGCGGGGAGATAACCCTGTGGCAGGAAAACCTGTGTCAGGGCAGACCCTCTTCCCTGACCACAAACCATCCCCTGAAATCCTGCCAGAAGCATCAGGCTCAGAGACTCAAGAGCTGGGGAAAGAGACTTCATGGGATTTGAGTTTCCTAACCCCTGATGTCTTTACTGATGTTGGAGCAGCTCAACTTCATGGAATTCAGTTTCCCAGAGGGAACCACACATTCCCAGCACCAGTCTGGGCTTTATCCTGAAAGGATGTAGCAATCACACCCCCGACCAAAAAAAACCCCACAGCTCACCCGTAGGCTGGGCACAGATACAACATGAGCAAACCTGGTTATGGGACACATGAAGGTCTAGGAGTGCACGTCCCTGGTTCAGCACATTCCCCCCAGACTCCTGCGTCACAGCTCCAAGTACTCACTGAGAGGAGACGCCACGTCACGGGCCGGACCTCTCTGGGCACACCAGGCCAGCTGCATTTCCTCAGCTCATCTGCAAACGGACAGTGGTGGCAATGGATTAGATCCTAGGCACGTCCAGGCACCACTATACCTAGAAGGAGAGGAAAGCCCAGTCTGCTCCTGCAGGCTCTGGAGACACTGAGCCTCCAGGAAGGCTCCACATTAGCAATGACTGGGGATGTGGGTCTGCAGCAAGGGAAGCAGAGACTTTTTCAGCTCAGTCCGAGCACAGGACTGGTGGGGCTGCAGGGGCCCCAATCCTCCGGAGCCTCAGTTCTCACATGGAGACCAACAGTCCCCAGCGATCACAACCATCATTTGTGAGATGGAGAAAGACTGGAAACGGACAGGCAGCTGGTGGAAGACATAACCATCTGCCAGCAGAGCAGTCTGTGCAGCTATCCCACTTGGAGCAACTGCAGGTAGTCATTTTATCCACACTGGAGCAGACCTGATTGCAACCTGAAGCCGCCGGCAGGCCCCCTCTGCCTCCCCCTTCCCACCCGCAGGCACCCCCATTTTGCCACACTCACCCAGGTCCGTGTTGTGGCTGGAAAGGAGCTGCCGAAACTTCTCCAGGCGGGTTTTCTCCCTCACTGTCATGGGGGGAGCACCCGAAGCATTTTGGTCAGAGATTCGGGCGACGAGTGGAATGACGGGCCGAAGGGGAAGGGACTGCTGCTTCTGAAGGGGGGTCCGCACACAGGCCTCCTCTGCAGGGAGCAGGTGCTGCAGTGAGGTGGGGGAAGGAGACTGCACCTCTCCAACCCTACCTCGTTCTTCTGGCCACTGTCAGAGACCTGCCACTGCAGAGATAACCCCTCTCTCCCGCAGCCCCAGCAAACAGGGCATCACTGGCCCACTCCCACAGATCAGCTGGTTCACAGGCATCTGTTGTGGCTCTTCCAGCATTTCCCTGCCATTTCTCCTTTCCTTCCTGCCTCCTGCATCCAGACACCTGACTGCCAGTGGATCAGACTTGCCTCTTCACGTGGGAAGCCATGGGCAGACGGACACAGGAGATGAGGCAGAAGGAGCTGTGGGAATCCTACAAGAACTGACCTTCAGATAGATCCATTCTGCTCACCACTGATCTAAATAACGATCAAGCTAATTGCAAGTGCAGAGAGGAGGCGACGGGCTGTCAATGCCACCTGCTGGGTTACTTATGCAGCACAGGCAGCCTTCTGCCTGCAACAAGGGAGGGTGAGCAGGGACTGATGCTGCCCAGTTCTCTGCCCAAGCTGTTTCGACCCAGGGTCAACCAGACCTCATCCAGACCTTTATTAAGAGCAGTGCAGTGGGCCACAAATCACGCAGTGAGAGAAACCCCGAGCAAGGACTTAAATTTCCAAAATTTCTTAGCACCCAGAACCTCTGCGACTGACATGCCTGTATGCAGGATATTGAGCAACAGAGGAGACTGAAGCATTAAGGCCAGGCCTCTGAAAATGCCTCCTTGGAGTACAGGATACTACAAGGAGGTGAAAGCCCCTGCTGAGCTTACGGGCTGTGTCACAGCCTCTCGCCCGTAACATGCGAGTAGCGGCAAGAGGCTGAGTTCAGCAGTCAATCAGGAGAGCAGCAGAGCAGGAGGCTGCTCCTGAAGACGGCTCTTACCAGATGTCCTGGAGAGCTGAGCCTCGCTGCTGGACTTGATGACCTTGCAGTTGGTGGGCATGTCGCTGAGAGCGGACTGGGCCCGCTCAGGTTTTGCCCGCAGCTTGCTGTGGTTCTCCAGAACTTGGGCTGCCGTGGCCTTGGCCACTTTAGAGTTCAGAGTTTGCAAAGAAGAAGAGGAAGAAGAGAAGTCCTCATCTTCATCATCACCAATGTCCCAGGCATCACTGGTGTTGCGGGCAAACTCGTGAAAGCTGGAGGCCTTCTTGCTTTTCATAGGCAGCGCGTTGGCCTTGGTTCGGTCCTTGATGAAGCTGGGAGCCAGAGAGAAACAGTGTCAGAGCAATGCTGTCAGACAACTCCCTACGTCCCCACTCCAATCAGCCAGTCCCTTCTTCCAGTTGCCCCATTCCTCCTCCCAAACCCAAGGAATGTCTTAAGTCTCTCTGGGCTGCCCGCTGCTGGGAGACAAAGCCTGCGCTGGTATGATGGCAGGGCACGGAGGCCACAGTGCCAGCAGGCAGCTGGAGAGGTGCCAGGAGTCCCAGCTCAGAAGGGCAACGGGGAGAGACATAAGACTCCTCCAGCTCTGCCTCTCCCCACTCTAGAGAAAACTGGTAGATTGACACCCAAGAAATCTTGCGACCTGGGGAGAGGCATGTCAGAAGCTAGACGGAGACAGTCTGCGCTCGTGGATACTCCTGATACAGCTGTGACAGCTCCCAGCAGACAGACCAGCCTGGTGCTTTTCTCAGGCACAGGAGGAGCCTTTGCATTTACCCTTAAGCTACAGGAGTCAAAGTCCACCACCTGAAGCGTCACAGAAAAGGGGGAACCTTCACCGCTACACAGCACGAGATAGAGACAAGGAGGCAGTTCAGATCAGCCTTTTCCTGCCAGGAAGGGTGCTGCGGTTTTCCAGCCCAACAGCTGCCAGGCAGCTTTACTTCCCCTTCCCTTAATTCTTCTGTCTTCAAAAGGGAGCAGAGGGCTCAGACACCATTGCTAAAATACACTCCTGTCTCCTTTGATGTGGCTGGTACGATATGGATTTCTGGCCATAAAGGGCACCAGCAGATAAGCTTTCCCTGCAAGCTTCCACAGAGCTCAAGACAGCACTGCACAACACTGCTGCCCTTCTCTGCTGGAACATCACAGTGCCAGAGGATGCTGGAGATCGCTACCTACCGCAGGACTGAGACAAAAACCTGCAAAGCCTCATGGCCTGCGTCTCCAGAAGATAAACACTTACTTTTTGGTGAGCCGGGGATCCAGCGGAGGATGCTGTGCTCCATAGACAGGTTGAATGCTGCAGAAAGGGAAAAGATAAAAAAAGCCAATGCAAGAAGTCACAGAGCACCTGTGAATAATCTCCTCAGCCTAGACTGAGGTCACACTTCTTCCCTGTCGTCGGGAGCTGAATACAGAACAAAAGCAACTTCAATAACCTTCTGTCTTCAAACCCTTAGACCCAAAGTGCCACATTCAGCTGAAGAGTTGTTCTTTGCAGCAGCAAAGAGAAGCCTTGTTTTAACTCTCCAGTCTGAGCTGGGATTTGAGATCTGCTCTTTTCTGCACCACCCATTCACTCCGAGTGATTGTGTGTCTCAGTCCCCCTGCCTTACACACTGATGTTCATTCTCTTTTCCATCAAGGGGATTTCCAGGTTTGGGAATTCACGCTTCTGAGCCCTGTGGGACAGGGAAGGACTCTCGCCAGTGACACTGGGGCTCCTCTGCAACACACTTGAGGGTTTGAACCCCATGCAGTCCCTCAGGCTCATAGCCAACACTACAGCAAAGCAGCCTCTAGTACAGTACACAGTCTGACTCGGGTCCAGATCTCAGCTTAATCAACTACTTCCTATGTGGCCTGAAATGAGTCACCCCATCTCAGTCCCTCAGCTCCCTTCCCCATGGAATGGGACCAGTGAGACAGGGAGCCCGAGGGCTGCAGGCACTATATGGGGAGCATCACCTCAGAGAAGAGCTATTAGATGAGTGCTCATCACTAGTTTTACAGGCTCTGGACACATGACAGGGATCCTGAATTATTACCTCAATTGCGCTAACTATTCACAACCACCCCACCTTGAAAAACCATCTCTGGAAAACAAGTCCTCCCCATCCCCTGGTACACAGGATGGTCCCGCATCCCACTGTGGAGACGGGCTCATTCAGATCTGGCACACAAGGGACAGGCTCCTCTTGGGTCAACAGAGCTGGCCTGGTTTCCAGGAGCTGCAGATGGTGCCCGGCAGTAAAACGAGCAGAGCCCAGCTGTGTAGGAGGGGGGCTGGCAGCCTGGTGCAGCTGGAAAGCGTGCTGGAAACCAGTTGATGTTGGGGAGGCGGCAGCAACAGGCCCAGCTGGCAGGGGAGAGATGCAGAGATCCAGGGCAGAGGCTGGAAACAACACAGCACAGAAAGATCCTGGTGGTGAAGCCCAGCGAGGGGTGGGCTCGCTGCTGCAGCGGCCGCCCCTCGGGGCTGGAAGCGCTGAAAAGGCTCACTGTGTTTACCCACGAGCGATCAAGCCTAGGAAAGAGTTTGCTGACTAATTAGCATCTAGGAGTCAGGACAGCTATTAAGCAGAGGCACCCCCGTGGGTGGGCATAGCAAGCAGATTATCAGGAGTAAGAAAAACAACCCCTTCAGATCAATGCTGCTTCCCAGTGACTCATGGCAGCTCCTTGCAGAAGAGGAGTCGGCCGATACCCAGCGCCGAGCTCGCACCGTTTCGTGACAGCAGTCACAACACTGCTCCGCTCTGCGCAGGGACCCACACGCTGCTGCTGGGTGACCGTTTTGAATTCACGTGCAAAGGCCTGAGCTTCACAAGCCAAATGAACGATGCGAGTTAGAGATAGGGGAGGGGATGTGGCAGCCAGCTCTGGGTGAGGAAATCCTTTCCTGAGGCTCTGAAGCAACTGGCCAGTGCCTCCTCTGGCTAACTGCCGACACAATGGCAGAGGGTCCCACCTCCCAAGCAGCTCTTTTTAAAGAATTTGAACCCAGGCTCCCTCAAACAAAGCATCCCAAGCTGATCTAATTGCACAGCCCATCAGCCTGCGCTCCCACACAGGCGGCTGAAAATGACAGTCTCATTTCCAGCAGGCTACAGAGGCAGGGCTGAACACCACCATCCTGCATCAGTGAGCTCAAACTGCTGCATGAAGAAGGTTCTCCCCGTGTTTGTCCCATCTTTGCTGATTCTCTGCCCCATCCACCCGTGCAGGGGGTGCAACAGGAGGCGTGCAAATGCTCCAAGTTGTGCAACAGGTGACTTCTAAGATACACGAGCACTTGCGCAACTGTCAGACAGCAAATTTGCACCGTAGTATCCGTGGTACCCTCGATGTCTCATCCCACACCTTTAGCTCACGTCCTTGCAGCTGACTCCTAGCAGATCCTACAGCTCCACACCAAGGTGCATTATCACATCCTACTTCTAAAGCTGAGAAAATTGAGGCAGGGGAGTGATACTACCAAGTGATGCTCAGTAACTTTATTTACTCACTCTTGTCTGGTTTTCCCTGATGCACCTTGGCTAGATAAGTCTGCTGTCTCTAAGCTTAACTCCCCGTCTGAAGCTGTTTTTACCTGACTTTTGCACGGCCACAAAGCGCAGTGCAGGCACTACCTCTCAGCAAACACACCACTGGGTCAGGAGCTAAGACCTCAGTTGATGCTGTGCTCCCAAACTGACTGGGTGAGTCCCCTCTTCTGTCTCAGTTTAGTCTCTTTAGGACAGGCATTTCTGGTTACCCGTATGTTCAGTGTCTGGCACAACGGGTGACTGACAGCGTCTGGTACAACGGCTGTGGTATCTGCGTTACACCACTCATGAGGAGATCATCACAGGGTGTGGGTTATTGACACTGCAGCAGAAAGCTTATCCATGAAACCTCAGTGCCACTTTGGACACAGAACATATTTATTCCTAGCAGATTCTGTTTCTACACCTTTAAAACAGCATTTACATACCACTCACCAGGGCCTGGCTGCCCATCTCTCTAAAGAGCAGGAAATAAAACAACCCATGGCACAGGATAACACACCAGACCAACCTGTCAGCGCATCCCCAGAAAATTACTGGGCCGAGAATTCCCAATGGAAAAACCATGGGGCAGTACGGGGAGCATGAAACAACACTTACTAGTTCTGCCACCTTAAATCTGCAGGGGAAAAGCACCAACTAAAGGCTAATACAACTAAGTGATCAAATGCACAAAGTGTCACAGAAAAGAAGCTAACAGTCTCCAAATCCTCCTTCTGCCAGCTTGTCAGGGCAAAGAAAGGAGAGAGCCAAGAATCTGTACAGGAATAATCTCTCAAAGCTCAGACAAAAAAGAAGAAAAGGAGCTTCAAATCTAGTGACCACGGATGCAACCCGTCCCACCTTCATCCTTCATGTCTGTGTTGCCCAAAACCTGTCGGTACTGTCCCTGGAAACGACTGGCACGCAGGGTATTTCGAGGTGGTAGCAAGCCTCCTGGACAGCAGGATATTTGCCAAGCAGCCAGTTAGGAGCAGGGGAGAACTTTGCCAAAAACTTGACATTGGAGTGTATTGTCTAGGCAGGACCGGCTGCCTCCCAGACCGGTTCACCTGGTTTGAGCTTTCCAAGCTGAAGCTCAAAGTCACTCACTGCAGAAGAGAGATGCTGTCTTAGACCACCAGCTGGGAGCACGACTGTGACCTCTGGGTAAGGGATGGGAGCAATCAGGAGACAAAATGACCCAGGGAGAGCACAACATTTTCTTCCCCCAAGAGCAGAAGAGGAGGAACACGTAGTGCTCATTGCTTTCTCTTTGCTTGCCACAGGTCCGGATTATCCTGCCAACCTGAGGGAGCTGGTGCAGCGACAAAGAACCGAGTGAAAGCACATTAGAAAGAGAGATTTAACTGGCCTAGCAGGATTTAGAGCCAACTAAGCATTTCAGACTGCATCTGCACACCAGGAGGGGAAGGGCAGGGTTCAGATAAGGTAAATGAGAGCAAACACGAAGAGCACCAGACAGGACCAACACTTGTGAGAGATTTGGGTGCCCTCTCCCCATAGAAGCCTTGCTCCCAAGGCCTTGTAGGGAGCATCTCCTTCATCACCTCCAGCCTCTTCATCCTAAACACCACTGGAATCGGACATTTCACTTGTTTCTCCCATCCCTGGGTAAGTGCAGGTGTCTTGACAGGAACTGGGTCGTCACATCCAGAGGAACTGAAGCAGAAGAGGTGCACAAAGAGAGGCCCCCACGGTCCCTCCTATTAGAGGTGGGCCAGGAGTGACACCCCGCAGAGGAGAGGACAGTGGGGGGGCATGTGCATTGGCAGGGGCACCTGTTTGGGACAGAGTTGCTGTCACGCAAGGTGACATCTCTAAACGCTTCAGGAAGGGATGAAGTTTCTTCAATATCTGTGGAAAGGAGGATGGTACAGCCCTGGCTCCGAGGCCACCCCAGGGAGGCCTTCAAGGCCCTGACCCCCTCCACCCTGCTTCCCATGGGGCAGAAGGTGCACACAGGGGCCCCCACAGACCCCACCCTGCCCTACAGATAAGATCCTGGCGCTACCCTTGTCCCTTATACAAGGGGACTTCCTCCAGCAAAATTCCCCTGCCTCGTAGCCTGGGGTGCCCCTGGCATCCCCCCTTATTGCAGGGGCAAACCCCGGGGCCCCCAGCCAGGGAAGATACCCGTGGTACCCCACACCTTTGCAGGGGGGTACCCCTGGGCCCCCACACCCTTGCAAGGGGGTACCCCAGGACCCCCAGCCCCACAGCCAGAGAGGGTGCCCCTGACAGCCCCTTCCCAAGGCAGATAGACTGCTCCAGCTGACCTACCCAACGCCCCCCCAGCTGAGAAGGGAGACTGCGGCCCTTGCACCCCTTCATGGGAATATGGGGGGGGGGGGGGGGGGGGGGGGGCCGGTCCCGGCCGGGCCGGGCCGGGCCCGTCGCTCACCTGCCCGGCAGCTTGGCGCTCCGCTTCCAGAACTGCCTGCCGCTCTCGGCCGCCATAGCGGAAGGGAGGGGCGGGCCCGGCCGGCCAGCCAGCGAGCAAGCAAGCCCACCGGCCGGCCGGCCCCGCGGCGCGGCAGCGGAGCGCGGAGGAAGGCAGCGGCCCCCCCGCAGACCGCCTCACCGCCGCCCGCCCGCAGCCCCCGGCGGCGCCATCTTGGGCCCGGCCGGGGAGAGCGCCGCCATTGGCCGCTGTTGGGCAAGGCGTTATCGAGGAGCCAATCGTGAGCGGGAGGAGGGGGGGGTGACGTCGGGTGAGGGGGCGGGACCTGCAGGGCTGGAGGTGGGGCTGTGTGAGGCGGGACGGACCACCTGAGAGGGGGAGGAGGGGATAAACCATCCCACCTCGGGCGGGGGGAGGGTGAAGGAAACCACGAGCACTGAGGGGCATGGAGCGAGGCACGAAAACGGAGCTGAGGCGGCGATGCCTGCGTGAGCCGCGAAACAACGAAAACCCTGAAAAGGGGTGGGCGGGTAGGGTTAAATAACGCCCTGGGGGAGAGTCCACTCACAGGGCCGGGGGTTGACACGCCCGGCAAGCACCTGGGTGAAACCACCATCGGGAGAGGGCAGGGGGAAGCGGGTTAAACCACCCGCGGGGCCGCAGAGGGGGAGGCGATGGGCAGAACCATGCGCGGGGCGGGACACCCACACGCCGTGCGGTGGCAGAAGCTTGTGGCACCTCGGGGTGGCTCCGCCGCCAACCGCGGGTGTCACAGTCCCCTCAAGGATTCAAGGCCATTTGGGTCCATTTCCACCCACCATCCGAGCTCCGGTGCCAACCTGTCCCCTCATAACGACAATCGGGGTGAGGGAGTAGCCGCCATGATGGGGCGAGCTGTGAGGCGCAAGCAGTCGCCCCCTGAATAAATGGGGGTAAACTGAGGGAAAAAAAAAAAAAAAACAACCAACCAAAAAAAAAAAAAAACAACCAACGCACAGGCGTCAAAAAACCCACAAACTTTCCAGGTGACGTGGGACCCTGCCTGCCCACAGGGCACTGCCATCCTGAGGAGAAACCTCACCACAGGGATGTCCGGCAGCCACCGGGCCTCAGTGGTGCTGGGTGTGGGCAGAGCAGGACGGGGCCTCCTGTCACCAGTGTCCCCTGGGCTGTGGGGACATGGGGACCTCCCGCTCCTGAGGGAAACCTGCGATGGCTGCTGCTGAATTAGCAGCCACCTCTCAGGGTCAGGCTGCCGGCATGGCTGTTACCCCAAGGGTCAGTTCCTCACGAGGCACCTCAAGTTTTCCGCACTTGCAAGGGACAGGGCGATGGCAGGAGGGGAGCTGGGTGTCCCTCGGGGTGTCTCAGGCATTGGGGATCATCGGAAAAGGGATAATTATCATCATCAGCTCAGCCCCTTGGCTAGGGTGGACACACAGGGCTCCCGCCATCCCCTCAGGGTCGGGCCTGGCTTGGTGGGATCATGGCTCCTGCCAACTGAGGCTTGGAGAGCCTCGCAGGACACAGGAGCGTCGGGAGCACTCAAAAAAGGGAAGAAAAATTTAAAAGCAGACGCATTTCTGCAAAACCAGCCTGTTTTGGGAGGACGGGGGCTGACAGCAGAGGGCGGCACAGGCTTGTTACTGGCACCTCAGCACAGGGCCTGGCCTGGCACCTGGGTGCTTCACCCAGACCCAGCCTGTTTTTGCTCTTTCCCTCGCCATCACCTGCTGCTTGGGGTACAGGGAGATATTTCGGGCGGGCAGAGTGAACCCAAGACCGTGGCAGCCAGCCCA